ATAGGGTTGCTATGAGAGGAAATCGACTCGGTATCAGTGGGTTTGGATTCAAGAGAAGATGATCTGGTGGCGCATAGTTACTTGATGGGCTGCTAACCCAAAGGTCAGAAATTCAAACCCAGCAGCCATTCCATGGGAGAATCTATAAAGACTGACAGTCTGTCCTATAGAGTCGCAGTGAGTTGAGGGGAGTTGAGAGTTGGTTTTGGGTGTAACAAGGAGTGAGGCAGTATGGATCCATATAGACTCTGACCAACCAGGAACACGGCACATGCTCAGATTAGAGGCATCATGTGATTTCCGCAAGCCTGGATCAGAATCTCCTAATTAGAGTGAGATGTTCCTAACCCAGTTATAACATCTTGGGTCCCTAATACTATTTCCAATTTTATTATTGATAAAAATACCTTGTTATCACTTTACAGGATCTAAGAATAAAAAAGACATATGGCTTCTAAGGTTTTCTTTTACGAAAAACCACACAAAAACATGCGCTGAAAATGGAAGGTTCTTAACCTGGGGTACAGGAGAGCAAGCTCAGGAGTTCAAGATTCCCTTAAATTACATACAAGCATTTTCTATATCTACACTTATTTGGAGTCACAAAAGATCTATTATTTTCATGAGATTCTTGGAAGAGGTTAGACCTTTAACAACTGATAGAAGGCATTGGTGATTCTGTGATAGAATTCTCACCTCCCTGCAGGAGACCCTGGTTTGATATCCCAACATACATTATATATGGAATCCTAGGAAGGATCAGAACTGGACTGCTAACTCTAAGGTGGGCGGTTCAAGCCCACAAGCTGATCCTTGGAAACCCTATACAGGGTCGCTATGAATCAGAACCAACTTGAAGGTATTTAATAACTTTTAACAACTTAATGTAATTCATCCATACTTATCACATCTGTCAGTGGAGACTCACGTGTTGTTCTGATGCTGAAGAGCTTTTACTGGAGTTTCCAGATTAAAACAGAACGGGAAGAAAATACTAGCAGTGTACTTCTAAAACTTGGTGGAGAAAAATGCTAGAGATCACAATTGTAGACCTCATGTGCATGCAGTTGTCATGAGTCAGGGGCCAACTCGAGAGGAGGCAACAGGAACTAAAGTTATCTCTAGAGATAGTCACCAAGGAGTTCTTTTAACTATTTTAACTACCAATTTCCCCCCAGAGTTATAAGATTTTAATTGTGAAGTAGGTATACACCTGCTATGTAAAGAGAGGAACTCTGGACTTTTGTACACAGGGGTTGCTAGGAGTCGGAACCAACTGTTCCGCACCTAACAACACAATAGCACAACAGAACTGTGGATTTTGTATCCCATCTAGGTCTGGTCAAAAACCCCTAAAGTTCAGTCTCTGGTCACTGAACCCTTTGAGGAGGGTCAGTGTATCTTTGTATCTCTGTATTGTAGGACTGGACACAGTGTCCCCTATATGAACTAACAAGTCCTGGCCAGAATTTAGAACCTCTAAAGAAGAAACTTCAAGTCCATTTGCAATGTCAGTAGGGAGGACACTGGATTCATCTGGGCATCAGCCATTGGAGAAGGGAGCCCAATTTCCTCTAAGGATTCATGCCAAGACCCTAACCAATGCTGAGACAATTCCATGTAGCAGTGCACACCAAGGAGTCTAAAATCCACCCTAGCCCCTCCTCAGTTCAACTACCTACTCACGTGTGACCTCAGGCATGTCCCTGTCACTTCTTACAGCCTACCTTCTTGTCTGCTAATTACAGATACCAGTATCCACGCAGTGGCTCTAGAGGATAAATGCTAGACTGTAAACCACAAAGTTAGAGGTTCAAGCCCACCTGCCACTCCATGGGAGAAAGAGGAAACTTCCTACTCCCGCAAAGATTTACAGCTTCTGAAACCCTATACAGAGTTGCTGAGTTGACATTGATTCAACAGCACTTAACAACAACTACCACTTGTTGGGGGCAATGGTAGATCAGTGGTGGAATTCCCCCCCCCTCAAAGAGATATCATTGATATTCCATACTAGTAACATTTTACTAAAGGTATCCAAAAACCACTAAAGGTTCAAGCTGGTTCCAGAAGAGGACGTGGAATGAGGAATATCAATGCTGACATCAGATAGATCTTAGCTGAAAGCAGAGAATACCAGAGAGATGTTTACCTGTGCTTTACTAACTATGCAAAAGCTTTCGTTTGTGTAGCTCATGGCAAGCTATGGACAACATTATGAAGTATGAGTAATCCAGAACACTTAATTGTGCTCCTGAGGAACCTGTACGAGAGGCAGTAGTTTGGACAGAACAAGGGAAAACCAAATGGTTTAAAATTAGGAAAGGTGTGCATCAGGGATGTATTCTTTCACCATACTTATTCAATCTGAACACTGAGCAAATAATTTGAGACGCTGGATTGTATGAAAAAAAAATATGGCATCAGGATTGGAGGAAGACTCATTAACAACCTGCAATATGCAGATGATACAATCTTGTTTGCTGAAAGTGAAGAGGACTTAAAATACTTACTGATGAAGATCAAAGACCACAGACTTTGGTATGGGTTGCATCTCAAGGTAAAGAAAGCAAAAATCCTCACCACGGGGCCAATAAATAACATTAATATAAATGGAGAAAAGATCGAAGTTGTCAAAGACTTCATTTTTCTCAAATCGACCATCAACACTCATTGAAGCAGCAGTCAAGAAATCAAATGACATATTGCATTGGGCAAATCTGCTGCACGACGCCTCTTCAAAGTGTTGAAGAGCAAAGATGTCAGTTTGAGTGCTAAGGTATGTCTGCCCCAAACCCTGGTATTTTCAATAACCTCACATGCATGTGAAAGTTGGACAGTGAATAAGGAAGACCATAGAAGAATTGATGCATTTGAGTTATGGTGTTGGAGGAGAATAGTGAAAGTACCATGGAGTGCCAAAAAAACAAACAGGTTTGTGTTGGAAGAAGTGCAGCCAGAGTGTTTCTTGTAAACCAGGATGGCCAGATTTTGTCTCTCATACTTTAGACAAGACATATTGTCAGGAGGGACCAGTAGCTGGAGAGGGTTATCGCGTTTAGTAAAGTAAAAGGCCAGAGAACAAGAGGAAGACCCCCAACGAGATGGATTGGCACTATGGCAGCATCAATGGGCTCAAGCGTGGCAACAATAGTGAGGTTGGTCCAGGATCGAGCAGTGTTTTATTCTGTTGTACATAGGGTCGCTATGAGTCAGTACCGACTTGATGGCACCTAACAACAAGGATTCACCCAGTTACATATGTGCCTTTGTCACCCAGGAGTGTAAAGTTGTTGTTGTTAAGCACGGCAACAGTAGTGAGGTTGGCCCAAGACTGGGAAGTGTTTCGTTCTGTTGTGCATAGGGTCGCTGTGTGTCAGTACTGACTCGATGGCACCTGACAACAACAACAACAACAACATGAGGGAGACCTGGGTTCAATTCACAGCCAAGGCACCTCATGTACAGCATCCACTTGTCTATCAGTGCACACGTGTGTGTTGCTATGGTGCTGAACAGAGTCTGCAGACTAAGATGGCCTAGGAAAAAAGGCCTGATGATATCTTTCCAAAAATCGATGGAAGAAAACCCTACGGATCCTGTATGGTGTTTTACATTGAGCCAAGGTCAATTCAACAGAACCAATGCTAACTAGCCTGGCCTAGTGTCTGATCGGGTTACTATAAGACATGGCTTCCCAACCATACAGAGTGAATTGTTTCCCCCCCAAAACCATGTGTTATAAAAATCCTGACCCCTATTTCTGTGGTTATAATCTCATTTGGAAATGAGTTTTCATTCCTGGGTTAATAAGGCAGCATTAGTATAGAGAGTGTCTTAAATCAATCTCTTTTGAGATCTATAAAGAACAAGTTAATCAAAGGTGGGGAAAGAGACGCCAGGCCACCACATGGAGATCACCAAGAATCCAAAACATAGTAAGTGAAAAGAGACACGGACCTTCCCCAGAGTTCACAGAGAGAAAGCTTTCTCTTAATAGGGACTTCTAGCCTCCTAAACTTCGAGAAAATAAATTTCTGTTCAGTAATGCCACCCATTTGTGGTAATTTTGTTACAGCAACAACAGATAACTAAGGCTCTAACTGCTTCCTGTTTCTTAACCCCTCTGTACATTTGCACATGATGCCCCTCTGCCTGCAATCACCGTCTGTAGCTGAAGAACTCCTATGCAGCCTCTAAGGCCCCATTTAACTGCCGTCTGCAGAAATGTCCTAGAGCCCTGGCCCCTGTGATGGTCAATCAGTGTCCCCTCACCTACCTCCATGCTCTTAAACGTACTTTTCCCTGCTTAGTGGCACTTACCGCCCTCTAGTGGCTCCTTCGGAGTCCTGGTGTGGTGCTGTGGGTTAATGCGCTCAACTGCAAAGTCAGTTTGAACTTCAAGTTGGTGGTTCAAGCTCACTAGTCACTCCTTGGAAATCCTCTAGAGGGTCGCTATGTGTCGGAACCGACTCGATGGCACTTAACAATAACAATAACAAGTGGCCCCTTCACTCTGCTTCCTGAAAGACTGCAAACCAGCTGAGGGCAGAGTGATTTTGTCTTCCTCTGTTTCCTACCTACTCCCAGCATAGCTGGAGCTGAATGAGCCCTTACCCAGTGACTGATACCCACACTGGGCAGCAGGCTCATCACAGAGCCCTTGGAACCCCAAGCAGCCACGTGGCACCTTGGGGAGAAGGGCCACCGTTGAAACTGACACTGATACAACAGGGGAGGCCGGCCCAGAGCCCCCCCACGCCCTATTACTGCTAAACTCTAACATCCCTAGGAAGCACAGCCTCAGGATTCCAAAGAGGCCTATGAAACAGCAGGTTGTCAACCGCAGTGCAAGCGACCACCACCAAACATTTCCATAGCCCAACAGCGGCTCCTCATTGGACACCCTACATGGGTGTGCACTTCACCTCAGCAACTGGACACATGCCCAGAAGAGCCCACGGGATAGAATCTGCCCACCCTCTGAGAACCCTGCCCACCTTGACGCCCTCCAGGAGTGCCTGGGGGTCCTCGATGCCCTCGGGGACACACTTCTTATTCTCCGGGAGGGACTCGAGTTTTTCTACCAGGGCTTTCAGGCCCTTGAGCTCAAACTCGGTGAGGTGGGTCCACTTGGTGGAGACGTCAGTGGTGGGTGAGCCGGTGGGTGTCTTGGGGTAGTCTGTGGGCACTGTGGTGGACTTTACGCTCTCTTCAGACTCGTTAGACAAAGTCCTCTTGAGGAACCGCATAGCAGGAACTTTGGGCTTCTTCCCGGGGGTCTCCGGGTCCTCAGCGGGGGTGCCGGGGGGTGATGCAGGGCCATCAGCCAGTGGCTTGGGCACCTTCTCTCCACCCTCCTCCTGTTCCTTCTCCTCTTCCTCTGGGGGGTTCTGCTCACAGCACTCCTCATCCATTTCTGGCCAGGAATCCGACGAGAAGCCGTCTATGCTGGACTTTCTTGGGGCATCTGTGGGAGGCCGAGGGTGCACAGAAAGACTGAGATAAACATCCCAACTTCTTGTAGGGAAGCTTCTGGAACTCCATTCACTCATTAAAACCAACCCCACAATCTGGAAATCAAGCTACTTCCCACAGTCCCAGCACATTGTCCTCTCTCTTCTAGAAAGAGGATTCAGCTTATGTCAGTTAGACTGAAGTTAGAATCCCAGCTTCTCCTCTTCCCAGCTCTGTGTACCCAGGCATGTTAGTTCACCTCTCTGGACTCATCTGACGTTTTTCTGTTGTTGTTTTAAACGTATGAAACGAAGGCAAAAGAAACATTTTAATTTTAAATAAAGAGCAAATAAGACATTCGTTGAAGGCTTGTTGCAAAGATTAAAAAACTAAAAAAACAAAGGTTATCACCAAGCACAGTTTGGGGTGTGCAATCACCAGTTTTATTATGCCAAGTCTATTCTGAGTCTTGGCGACCCCGGGTCCTGCAGAGTAGAACTGCACTCCGTTGGGTTTCCAAGGCTCTGTCTTCTGTAATGGACCGCCAGACCTCTCTTCAAAGGTACCTGTGTGCCCTCGAACCACCAGCCAACCTCTCAGGTAACAGAAGAGTCCAAATGATTTCTGCCACCCGGGGACTCCTTGGCACGTAGCGGGCATCCCAATAAAGGAGTCTATGCCTAACCTCGACCCTGTTCCTTTTTAATCCATCCATTTTCTAATCCATCCTTTTATGCGTACCACTTAAAGAACATAAGAAATATTCTTCTAATTCCCTAAATATCCAGACGAGAGAACTAACCCTCCATTTCTTGATTCTGGGAACAGTCCCAGAATTCTCTACAGTGTGGGTTCCCACAGGGACCTGTAGTTCTTTACAGTGCTTTACAACTCACAGCAAGCCTCTAGGATAGAGTCGAACTACAAGACTGCCTCATCTTTCTCCCACAGAAAAGCTGATGGTTTTGACAACCGACCTTTTCAGGGAGCAGCCGCATGCTTAAGCATTGCACCACCAGGTCTGTATTTCACAATTATTCACCATCTCTTCTTCTAGACTGTGTGCTTCAGACGGGCAGTTTTAAAAAGCCCGTGTTGTTCTATACCTAGATATCCCTTCATCAGACAGAAATGAAACTCTAGAAAGATGCCCCAGAGAAAATGGGACACTTCCCAGGGCTTGTTCCTCACCACTAGCTTGGCCTAATACCCCTCAAAGAGACTGAGTGAGGTAGGGAGCAAGCTTAATGCGAGAGGAAAACCCCAAAACCTCACAGTTTTGGAGAAAGCCAGAAAAACCATGCAGACCCCACCCAACAAAGACAGGCTAGCCTGGTTTTTCTGTCCCCTGATGGAAAGGCTTCTGAGAGTCTACACAGCCAACTCAGCAGCCAAGAAAGGACCTCAGCAGTAAAGACTCCCAAGGAACCAAGAGGAAGATCGAGTTTGCTTACAGCTCTCTGGTGGGCACTCACTGCTCGCTGCAACTTCAGGTGAGAGTCTGTGGAATGAAATTCGAGGACAGACCCATTTTGGGGGGGGCGGGAAAGGGGTATCCCTTTATGTAAAGAAGGTGGTGCTACAGCTGCAGCTGTCTTCAAGTGGCCTCTGTCCTCCTCCTCCTACAAACAACAGCTCTGGCCACCCTTCCCTCTGGCCCCAAGATGGCCTATTTCTATGTGGGAAAAGCCTACTCCAAGCTAGTGGCCACAGAGAAATAAAAAGAGCCAGGATTCCTCACTGAGTGAGTCTTTGGTACCCACACAGTACCGACAAGAACAGGACACCACAAACGTGCTGCTCTGGGGACTAACAACTCCATTTCCTTGACCTCAGTATTCCAAATGCGAATCTGATAAGGAATACATCCTCTTTGTTGGACGCTAAGTTCCCTACACCAGAAACAAAAACAACCAATAGCCCACTAACATAAAGTCGATCTTGACTCATTGCATACCCATACAATGCAGTGGAACTGTATTTTAGGGTTATTGAGACTATAAATCACACAGTCTCATCTTTCTCCTGCAGAGTAGCTGGTAGGTTTGAACTGCTGATTTTGCAGTTAGCAGCCCCAACTCCTAACCCTCTCTCTGCACCACCAGGGCTCCTTTCACCAGCACCACCAAAGGGAAAATAACCCACTACCAATGAGTTGATCCCAACCCATAAAACAAAAACCACACCCTGCCAGCTAATCCATTCTAATTCACAGTGACCTTATATGTCACAGTATAACTGCTCCTTAGGGTTTCTGAAACTGTAAATCTTTACAAGAGCAACCGCCTCATCTTTCTTCCCCTGAGTGGCAACTGGTAGGTTTCAAGCACTGACTAAGATCTCTTCCTGCCACCAGGGCCCCACTGAAAACATTCTTTCTGCCCAAACTGCCCAGCAGAGGTCGCCAGCCACCGAGAGTCTACTCACCAACCAGCATTGATTCTCTCTGGTGTTCTTGAGTGAGGTAGGATCGCTGGGTCACACAGTACACATACCGCTCCAGGACATACCAGCACATCTCATAGTAGAAGGGGTACCGGAATTTGGGCTGCACCTGAAACCAGACCCAGGAGGCGGATGTCAGTGTCCAAAGGACAGAGATGAGGGGGGTGCCACTGAGGCATCACCAGCACCAGCTGTGTGTGTAGGGGGCATGGGGGGGATGGAAGGAAGGAGGGAGAGAGGCGCTGGAAGGTGCTGGATGCCAAAAGCATGCACAGTGAGGACGAAGAGGTCATGTGAGCGCATCATTTCAGAGATGTCTGGTCTGCACGCCTGGGAATTTATGGGGTCCGCTCTATGCTTCTGCGAACTGCTGAAAAAGAGTACTCTGATGGGAACCGCTGTCTGGTTCTAGCTACAACAGACAAGGAGTCACCTCGTACATTCGTTCTCGAACATTCTTGCACAGACTCTGCTATCCTTACCTCTCCCTTGAAAAAAAAGAAATTAACCCTAAACTTTATCAAGTTGCAGGTGGGTTATTTATATTATTCACTCATCTTCGCTCTTGGAGGCAGGCCGCCCCCAAGGCTAGTGAAGATGTGGGCATGGCCTTACACCACCAGGGGTGGAGCCTCTGAGTTCCTGGCTGTGATTCCTCCCCCACAGTCACCTGGGGCTACAAGTGTGTCCACAGAGGACTCCCAAGGCCTCAGGCCCCTGGTGTCACCTGGGGCTGGGGGCGTGTATGCCCGGGTCTCAAGTTTTAGGTCTAAAACTTAGGCTGCATGGAGAACTCCTCTTAAGAGTAGAGTAAGTACAGGCGAACATAGCCGTGTGTGTGTGTGTGTGTGTGTGTGTGTGTGTGTGTGTGTGTGTGTTGGGGGGGGATGGATTCCCCAGAAGGTAGGGCAGGGTCTAGGAATGAGCAGGGGGGTGGTGGTGGGGAGAGATGGGAATGAGGCAAAACCACTGACCGAGATAAACCTTCCGGATGCTGTATCCAGAGCAGGCAAAGAAGGAAAGCGAGGAGTCGGAGGTCCCCTCCCCCACCCCCACCGGCGGCACTTTCTCCTCCAGAAGCTCATCCACACTTGCTTACTGGGCAGCCTCCAGGAGCCAATGCCAGAGAGCCCTCCTCACCTCCTCTAGCCTCTGGGAACTCTGGGAGCTGAATTAAAGCAAGCATGCCCCCATGCCCCACCCCCAGCAGGTCGCTCTGCCATTGTGGTAAACAGGTCACATAACAGGCATGTTCTACACAGGAAAGAGGGGGTGCGAACCCACTGTCATCAAGTTGATTCTGACTCATGGTGACCCCATGTGTTCATAGTAGAACTGCTCCTCCATAGGGTTTTCTTAATGGTGATCTTTACGTAAAGATCGCCAGGTCTTTCTTCTGCAGTGTTGCTGGGTGAGTTTGAACCACCAATCTTTCAGTTAATAGTTGAGTGCCAACGGCTTACACCACCCAAGGACTTCTACATTTGGGACAAGGACATAAATACAAGTGGCCCAAGATTCTCTGGCGTCCCTTAAAAGACTCTTTCCCTGCCTCTCTCATGCTGCCCACCCAGAAAAGGCCCTTAAGTCCTCAGATCTTGGCTCCTGGTACACTTCAGGCCCTGCAGAATCAGTGTTCAACCAGTTTTTTTCCTATGTTAGGGTCTCACGTCTCCCATCTGTGTAAGGGGTCTACTTGCTCTCCCTGTCTCTGGTGAATAGTATGCTTTGGAATGAGCCCACAGCTGTCACATGCTTTTGAACACTTAGGGGGGAGATGCTTGGCACTGGGATCATAAACTAGCGGTTTCCTTGGCTCCAGCTACTTTCCTAAGAACTCCAGTTTCATTGTTGGGAGAGGATTCACCTTTGTTCCAAGTTACTGGGTTGGTGCCCTCCTAAGTTTAAAAAGGGTCTTAGGGTCTTTAGCAAGAAGGAGACCTTGATCTCCCATAAAGAAGGTTGGGGGTCTCAACCCTACCCTACCCCCACACCACAGTAAGGGCCAAATGATTTTTAATTATATCGCCAACACATAAAAAAAAAAAAGAAGAAGAAGAAGCAGGCCAAGACTAGGTTGGTTTGGCCCAGCCTCTCATGTACCTCTCTGGAGCTACCCAACTGTTTGTTGATTGGCACTATGACTTCTAAGCATCTTTCTTGGTTAGGGAAAAAAAAAACAATTTTTGTTTTGGGGCAGTATTTCAAGAGGAGATGAAAAGTCACCCCAACGGAAACCAGCTGGGGAAAACAGATGCTGATGAAGGAATTCAATTTTTTTTTAAATAGTGGTTTTTTGTTTTGTTTTGTTTTTTTTCCAAGAGAGCACTGCAGGAAACAAAATGTGCAGAGAATGGACTTACAAACGGGTTGTCGCCTTCCACCCTTCGCCTTCAAAAGGTTTCAGCCACATGCCTGGGAACATTAAACACAGGATTGCTCAACATTATTTGTTGCCAAATGCGGTGCCTCACCAAATTGAGCTATTCCCCAACTTCGATCCAAAAGGAAAAACAAGACAGGCGGGCAGCATGCAGTGCTCCAGCCAGGAGGGGAATCCATCTCTGAGTGGATCTCAAGGGTTCAATTTGTGTTCCCAAAGTCCCAATCTTGTGGCACCTGGCCTTTACCTCTTCCTTGGTGGCCCAAGTCATCTTACAGGTGAATAAATCAAAGGGGAGCCTAGAACTCCCAGCTTTCATGTACTTAAGAAGTACAACAGGAGGGTGGATGGACATGTTTGAAAATGGAATCTTTTTCCTATGGAAAAAAATTTTTTTTCTCCTGGAAAAACAAAACAAAAACAATGGCAAAAAAAACCAACAACAAAACAAAAACAAAATCCAATGGCAGGGAGAAGGCGAAAAGAAGGGGAAATCATTTGTAATTTTCAAATTGACTCACTGACAGCAGTGGACTGGGGAGGGGGTGTTGCCTTTCCAGAGAAAGTTGCTTTCACTAGTGCTAATGGGGGGGTGGGGTGGAGGGAGGTATAAAAAAGATAAATATAAGAGATGGCAGTTTAAAGACTGATCATTTAGACTTTCCTATCACTTACCAACCTACCAGTAGTTAAATACATAGTGAGACTTTCTGAACCGTTATCTTAAAATAACCAGCCACCAACAACGCATCCACTCTAGAGCTGTACTTCCAGCTGTTGTTCATCTTTATGATGGGAAGGCAGAAAGTTAGTGCTTTCTGGGCAGAACTGGAAATCGCTGTCTGAACTTCCCTTGGTAGGGAGGAAACTTCTCACCCAACCACAAAGCAATGAAAATGCAATGGGCTTCCCGAACCCAGGAGCACAATCTTGAGGTCCCAGGGATGGGAACTAGGGATTCATCAACTTAGAGCTGCAAAGGCAGTTTCTTTGTCTAAAACAAACTGAATCCACGGGGCTTAGACACTGCTAACTTCCTCTTGAGAACCCCCTCCACCCTACCCATGTTTTTCTGACCCCTGAAAACCTACATTCAAATGGCCGCACACGCTTTAGGCAAGGGTGCAGAGATGTGAAGAATTGAGCTGTAACAAGCTGACAAGGCCCACTGGCATTTGATCGGGCTATCACTTCTGCTCCCCAGCATCTTTTGTCTGCTTGGACTCCTAAGACATAAACAATTGGACCTTGTAGCCAAGCTTCTCTCCAAAGAGCAGAAATCAAGGCAGATTAAACAGCCTGCCGCTGGTTCCCGCCTAGCCTGCCCACCAGCCCCCCTGCTCATGAGCCTGCTTTGGGGAAGAGCAGTGGGCCTCAGGGAGAGGGAGCTGGAGGTGCTGTTTCTAGTGAGCTCAAAATTCCAGGAGCGTGAAGCTTGGGTTCCACTACATTATCTTCGAGTCTCGCTCTCTCTGAGGCCCAAATCTACCAAGAAGAACGCTCCAGATCCTCTGTTGAGAGGGAGGAGGCTGCTTTAGAAATCCCAGTCCAACATGTCTTTCAGGAATTGCCTGGAAAGTCATGGGCCTGCCTTCTCTCTCTCCATTTCTCCTTTTCTACTCTGCACCTGCTAGTCGGCTTGCAGACAGACTGGTCTAGTTTTCAGAGCCAGCCAGAGTAGTTGGCAGGAGTCCAGAATGCACTTGACCCAGACTGTAATGGCCACTCACGCCTGGATGTTGAGTCCTTTCTATGCAGGACCACATCCTACAGGATGAGGCTGGGGCTGGCCTTCCCCAGGGCCTGGATGTGGTCAGAAAGAAAGGCAGAAATGTCTACGAAATGAGGGCCTTGCAAATGGCCACAGCACAGACCCCAATCTCTGCAGATCTAGGAACTCACACGGGAAAATACACTGATGGCTTGTCTGGTCACTGAATCCAGTTCTCGGGAGCCCCAGCCAGTTCCCTCCATGCTAGAACTGGTAAGACAGTCAAATGCACTCATGTGACTCTGTACAGACCACATCAAAGGTGGTGAAGGTGGCACAGGACCTGGCATATAGATGGTCGCCAAAGTTGGAGCCAACTTGAAAGCAACCAACAATGACCTGCAGACCAAGGTCTGAAACAAGCATGGGAAAGATGGGCCTCTACCTCTGTGAGAAATTTCTTTAGTGTCCAAGCATGTCCACATCTTTCTGGGGCCAAAAGTCATCCACAAAGAAAAGCACAAGAAGAAGAAATGGTGTAAATGATTCATAAAATGGAAAATTACCATTTTTTAATGAAAAAGCCCCAAGTACTGATATACATATAGAAACCTAAGTTCGTCAGTTACCAGGGGCAGGTAGGGGAGACAGGGAAGGGACTCATTGCTTTGAGGACACTTAGAGGATGATGGAAAATTGTGTTGTGCTGGCAGAACAACATGATGAATGTAATTAAGTCACCGAAGTATACATGAGAAGAATGTACAAATGGCAAATGTTTATACTTACCAGCATAAATTTTTCTAATGCATTAGTAATACATGCTATGTAGTTAGATAAATGCCAAAAACATGATGTTAAATGAAAGAAATCAGAAACAAAAGGAAACAAAGTGGATGATTCCATTCATATGAAATGTCAAAAAAATAAATCAAGCCCAGTGCCCAACAAGTCAATTCCAACTCATAGCGGTCCGTGCTGGGTTTCTGTACAGAAGCAGACAACCTCATCTTTCTCCTGAGGAGCAGCTACCGGTTTAGAAATGCCAACCTTGCAACTGATTAGCTGCACAATGTCTAAGCCACAATACCACCAGGGCTCCTGATAAGAAATGTCCAGAATAGGTACATCCATAGAGGCAGAAAGCCAGAAGCTGGAAAGCAAGGAGATAGGGATATGAATGCTAATGTGCACAAGGATTCCTTTTATAGTGATGCAAATTGTTCCGGAACTAGGCAGTGGTAATGGTTGCACATTTAGTACATTTGGTACACAGTGAGTGTACTAAATGCCACTCACTTGTACACTGTAAAATGAGCAATGCATGTAAATGGAGAGGAGCAACTCACAAAGGAAGGGTAAGAATGGGCGCAAGACTTGGAGAACGTAATCAGTGTCACTGAAATGTACTAGGGTAAGTGTCCAAACATATTGCTACAAAATCAAAGAAACCATTATTAAATAAAAATATCAAAATGTGAAGCTACTGTTTCTCAACATAGCCTCCTTCTAGGTCTGTACATGTCTGAAGGCAAAGTCTCTATCTCTCTTACTCTTTCCCTAAGAATGCTTCACTCTTCGATCGATACCAAGTCAAAACGGCAGTTTGCGCATTCTTGAGGGACTTATATTGTGTTCCTTTGACATGTTCTTTGAGTTTTGGGTACAAAATGAAGTCTGAAGGGGCAAGATCAGGGCTGCAAGGTGAATGGGGTGGTAAGATTTCACAACAGATTTTTCATAGGATAGTCCTTTATACTGTCAATGAACGAACAGATATATTGTCATGAAGGGAAAAAATTCCTTGGCGCAACTTTTCTGGCCTTTTTCTCACTGACGGCGCTTTTCAATTTTCTTTAAACTTCTTCCTAATAAGCCCCAACGATCATCCTGTATCCTTTGAGAAAATCTATCAGGATTCCTTTGGAATCCCAAAAGAGTCATGATAACCTTCTGAGCTGAGCTCTCTACCCTGAATTTAACTGGCCCAGTAAAGCTCCTCAGAAGAGTCTGTTTTGACGGCACCTTTCTTTTTAAGGCATCCTATGGAGACTGACAACGTATTACTGAGAAAACGTGTCCACAGCCATCCATGGATGGCAGAGAGATGTTTAAACACATTTTATTCAGAATAAATTCGTGCACGTATAGACTGGAAACCTAGTATCAATACTTTTTGACTTACCCTTACACAAGAGGAAATGGTTGCATGGGTGTATGTTTTGCAGTGAATATTTTAAACAACAACAACAATATAATATTCTTTTAAATGGTGAATTTTATGTTGAGTAATTACATGTCAATTTTTAAAAAATAGTTATTAAAGGGGGAAAAAAAGGAAGAATGTAAACTTTCAAAAGTAAAGAAATCATTAACTTAAAACAAACAAACAAACAAAAAAAATCAAGAAGTAGAAATAAGTCCATTTTGCCCCCAAGGTTCTCATCTTCCACCATTGGCCCTGTCTCAAATGCCTGGGGGTCATGAGGTTAGGTCTACATGGGTAATAGAGGCAAGCATAGAGCAGCCCATGCAAGAATTGCGGCGAGAACCAGAAGACGGCATCAGGTGCCTGGGCGTGGGGGTGGCAGCAAACGATGTCTGGGAGGCATCTGATGTCACAGGAAAGGCATCCCTCAGCCTGAGGGAGCTAGGGACCCGCCAACCATTCCCTGAGGCTGAGTTCGAGGAACTGCATGGAGGACTCTGTCCCCATCATCTTTGTAGGGGCCCATGGTCAGAATCACACCTCAGCCTAGGCTGACTGCCTTTTCAAGATCCACACTCCCTCCCAAACACAACTCACAAAATCTCCCCACTCCTGGGCTTCCATTCTGCACCCAAGGAGGAGGAAAAAAGTAAGGTTCTTGCTGTCTCACGGTGTTTTCTCAAGAGGTACTTCCTCATGGGTGCAGGGGGTTTTGGACGTGAACTGAAACTCCAGGAGGCTAGGGTGGGACTCTTGGGGCATTCCCTGCCCTGCCCTGCCCTGCTAGGACCCCGCTTGGGACTGGGGAACAGGAAGAGCCTCCTTACCCGTGTTCTGTCCTCGATCTCATAGATCCGCAGCTGCATGGGCACGTTAAAGCTGTGCAGGATGTTCCCGCCGAAGACCAGAGAGTCTACTGGGGTGTAGACTGCATGGATCCAACCTGGTGGAGAGGGGCAAGAAAGGCTGAGTCGGCAGCCTTCCCACCTCACCAGGCTGCAGGGAGCGAAAGAAACGAGGGGTATGTTCACCAGGAGTGAGGCCACTGGTGAGGTGAGAGGGCACAGCCCCAACACTGGCCTGCACAGACATGGTAGGAGGCCTGGCTAGCTGGGGGACAGTTGCAGACCAGCTCCACTCCAGGAGGTACTTGATGGCAAAGGCTTCCTCCTGGTACCTAGCTGTAGAGCCCAGAGAGGAGCAGGTCAATTCTCCCACCTCCACAAACAGGTAACCACATGCTTCCTAGCAGCAGGGATGGATTGAGTGGTATCTTCCTAACACAGGAGCTGAATTCCTGTGGATGTGGTTCTCTTCAGAAAAGGAGCTGTCTTTTGTTAGATTAAGGAGGCCCTTCAGGGGGTGACTCCCTGTGTGTCAGAGTAGAACTATGAGCCATTGGATTTCCAGTGGCTGATTTCTCTAGAGAAGTTCAACAGGTCTTTCTTCCAAGAGACCTCAGGATGGACTCAAACTGCCAACCTTCCAACGAGTAGTCACTGAGCACATTAACCATTTGCCCTCCACAGGGACTCTTATGGAAACACACAGAGGAGACAAAAAGAGACAGAGAAACAAGAGATGAGACCAGAGAAGACAGACAGAGTGACAGACTCCCACTCCTGTGCCCAATTTTGTTGCCCTTTCAGCCTCTTTCCCCAAGTGAGATTCAAACTTGCTGACTTTGAGCAAAACTGTCACCTGAGAAGGGAAGACACCCCTGATTCCTATGCAGGCCCCTCGGATACTGCCAGCAGCCCCCATCCCTGCTGGGGGTGTTGGTGGCAGTGGACAGGAAAGATCTGTGCTCCTTGGGGGAGGGCAGAGGAAAGCTGTTGGGCATAGGCCCAAGGCTCCCAGAATCTCCTCCTGCCCTCAGCTCCCCATGACTTGGACTCAAAGGTGTGCCTTTGCAATCTGACCCTTCTGCCACAGCGCCTCACCTGTGCGGGCCAAGTGGGACCGCTGCCTTTTCAGGACACAGTCCCCGTTTCCATATGTGCCCCAGCTCTGTTACACACTGGCCGATTTTCTCACCAGGAACCTAAGACTTCAAACTAAGGCTGAGAAGGATAAGGGAACAATCCAGAATAAGACCAAGGGCTCTTGGGTCCTATTCCTATACTGGCTCCTGTGCTCATCCACCTTCTTACAAAAGTACAAGTCCAGGGGCCTGGGTTTGAGGTTTCTCCCAGCACTGATTCACCAAGTAGCCCAGGGCAGCTACATGGCCCCTCTCCTGGCTTCAACTTGCCAGTCTGAAGAATGAGGGAGACCATGCCCTCCCATCACTGTGAACAACACCTGTGTCTATACAAACTTCCCACAGACAGTTGAGGCGGCCCCACAGTCCTGAACATCGATGCCCTTGTCCATTGGCAGGCATTATTTCTGTCCTATCCTTTCTCTCCACACAAGCTCACCTGTCAGATGGAAAGGTGCCTGACTAACATGTTAACCTCACGTGTTGTGAGGAAGAGGTGAGAACCTGTCATTCCAGACACTTAAGGTGTTTCTGGAAGCTTCTCCCAATTGTCCTTCCCAAGTCAGCCAGCCTGTCCTGGAGGTTGCTGAGCACTCTTCACATCTGCTCCCTGGGGAGCAACCAGGGAGGGGAATAATCCTGATGCATGAGAGCAAGTGTCTCCAGCTGGTCATGGGCTGCTAGCATCTGCCTCAGATTTCAGGATGGTGTCGTCAAGCACACAGACACAATAAACTGAAGCTTTTGGGGCCAAACAAGAGACAGATCAGTTGTGAGCCACATACCCTACTGCTGGTGTCTTCTGGAACCTAAGGGGCTAGCTTTAAGTCACAGAGAGTCAGGGCCAAGGTTAACACCAGCCCAGTGTCCTTTGAATCCAAGGCCCAGCCCAGCCGCCAACACCTACAGAGAGGCTCTGAGGCTCACGTTCTCCAGGGTACCACCTTTCTGAGTCTCCACCCGCACCAGCCAGGTCTCCATCATAATGCCATCCACCAGATGTAATCTCTTCCAGGTCCCAAAAGGGGTTCCTTCCCTAGAGCCAAGTCACCCCACTGAAACATGCCACCTCGAAACCCCAAATTTCCCTAACGGGGAAGTCTCTCCCTTCTGCCCAACTTCTTAGTAAGGCCCAGGTATATGGGCCCATAGAACCCTGGTGGCTCAGTGATTAAGCTGCTAAAGGAAAAGTCAACAATTCCCGCACACCAGTAGTGACACGGAATAAAGTTAAGGTGGTCTACTTTTGTAACAATGATGGCCTTGCAAACTCTATGGGGCAATTCTACTTTATTCTATAGTCAAAATTGGCTGTGGTTTCCTCCCCATGATAGAAACTGACGTCTACAACTATGTCCCCTTCATGTGACACCAAGCTTGATGGCACTTAACAACAACAACCAGTAAGTACTTGATATGCCCTTTTGGCAGCCTGACTCTCAGAAACCAAACGTGGCCAGCTTCAATAGATCCTAGTGGCCTCTGGGGATATATCCATCTTCTGGTCCAAGTTGCCATTCTGTGACAATTTCTCTGTAGGCTCCTTGACATACCTGTATGTAACCTAGACTTGTGTATATCCTGTGACAAGAAGTTCACTACCTCACAAGCAAGTCACATCTATTCTTCCAGGACAAAGTCCTTGACCTTGCAGATTATCACTTATGATTCACCTTTGCTTCCTTAGGTAAGAGCCCTAATTCTTTCCTCAAACTCATCTCATCTGCTTTAATTTTCAGACCTGCCCCCCTCTTTCTCCAGGTTGACTTACCCTCCAAACTACAATGACCAAGAAGAACACGGTTTTTACGTACAGCCTGACCACCCGCATCACATACATTATACACTGAGACGGCTTCCTCTCCCTCAGGCTGGATACAATATTTCCATTAATGTGGCTAACGGATCACACTCCCTGACTTCTAGTCACCAACCACATCTACTAGTGACTCAACCTATTGTTTTTGTTGTTGAAATTACATTGAGTCAGTTTCAACTCATGTTGTTGTTGTTAAGTGTTGTCCAGTCAGTTCCTACTCACAGTGACCCTGTATAGGATTTCCAAGAAACTGCTGGTGGGTTTGATCCACTGACCTTGTGGTTAGCAGTCCAGTACATATCCTACAGCACCACATGGCCTGGTCTTGTGCCATTCTCATAGTTGTTGCCATGTCTGAGACCAATATTGCAGCCACTATCTAGCCATCTCTTTGAAGGTCTTCCACTTTTCTGCCGACCCTTTCCTTTACCAAGCATGGTGTCCTTCTCCAAGGACTGGTCCCTTCTGGTAACATAAATTCCAATGGGATATTCTAAACACTATACTTTGGCTCTTGTGGACTTGTTTTAGTTTTCTTCAGCTTCACTTTGAACTTTAATATGAGAAATTGATGGTCTGTTTCAAAATTGGTCCCTTTCCTTGTTTTGATTTTTTTTAACATTTTATTGTTAATTGGGTGAAAGTGACTGAGCTTGAGCTTCTACATCTTCTCTTTCTAGAGATGCAGTTGATTTGATTCCTGTGCATTCCATCTGGCAAGATCCACATGTATAGTCACCACCATTTAGCCTTTTAAGAAAGGGTATCTGTAGTGAATAAGTCATTGATGTTGAAAAATTCTATCATGCCATCTTCAGTGTCATTTATAGGCCATATTTTCCAACTACCCATCCTTCCTCTTTGTTTCCAACGTTCGCATACCAATCTCCAGTAATTATCAGTGCCTCCTGATTGCATGTTTGATCAATTCCAGACTGCAGAAGCTGGTAAAAATCTTCAATTTCTTCATTTTTGGCATTAGTGGTTGGTGCATAGATTTGAATAATAGTTGGTGCATAGATTTGAATAGTGTGAACTGCTCTTCCTTGTAGGCATATTGATACGATTCTATTACGGACAGTGTTGTTCTTCAGGATAGATCTTGAAATGTTCTTTTTGACGATAATAACATTCCACTTTCTGATTCTGGCCAAAGGACAGCATATGACTATCTGATTCGAAATGTCAAATACCAGTCCATTCCAACTCACTACTGCCTAGGATATCAATCTTTATGCATTCCGTTTCATTTTTTGACATCTCCCAGTTTTCCTAGATTCATGCTTTGTACATTCCACATTTCAGTTATTAATGGATACTGGCTACTGTTTCTTCTCTTTTTGCATCATGCCACATCAGTAAATGAAGGTCCTGAAAGCTTTACTCCATTCACATCATTAAGGTAGACTCTACTACTCTTTTGAGGGTCTTCCAAGCTGAGGGGCTCCATCTCCAGCACTTTTTCAGACAGTGTTGTCATGCTATTCATAAAGTGTTCCCCAGCCAGATCTTTAAGATGTAGATCTTCAGGTCCTTCTTGCTAGTCTATCTTAGTCTGGAAACTCCACTGAAACTTGACCACCATGGCTGACCCTGCTTCCGGTATTGTAGTAACATTCAAGCCACCACAGGATGACAGACAGATGAGTGGTGGAGCAACTGAGCATAGAACCAGTCCAAATCTCACTAGCCATCTCCTAAGATCTGTAGGCACGGAGGTCTTAGCTCACTCACACCTTGTAACTGACCTGGGAAGTCTAACTCCCACTTTACAGATGAGGTCACTGAGGCACACAGAGGCTAAGTCACAGCTCATGAGCAGCAGAGAGGAAACTTCATCTGAGGTTCTAGGGCCCCTGTTCTTGTCTAGTATCCTATTGTCCTCAGCTGTAACTTATAAGGCTAATTTTTTTTTTTTTAAATTTAAGCACAGGAACTAACAATGAACTAACAGTTCCATTTCTTCCTGGATTCTGGGTCCTGTCCCCCTACCACACTGCCCTCAGCTCACCCTCTAAGCTTCTAGGTACCTCTGGAAAAACTTCTATCAGTTCCTACCTCCAGTGTCTACTAGAGATGTCTCCTGAGCCCTCATAACAAACTTACACCCAGCTTGGCAGGACCACCATCATCGTCTCCTACAGGGAAGTCCTGGTGGACATATTCACACTTCCCTAGAGAAGGGTCTCCATAGAAGGAAACTAAGGGGACAAAGAATTCTAGCTCCTGGGGTGTTGCTGTAGGATAAGCACAAGGTCGGCGGTTCAAACCGACCAGCCGCTCCTTCGACACTCTATACAGATTCCTTCTCCACAAAAGCTACCTTCTCTGCCGACTCAATGGCATTTAACAAGTAGGAGACTCGACAGCATTTAACAACAATCAGAAGCACTGATGGCACTGTAGGACAAGCACTGGATTGCTAATGGCAAGGTTGACAGTTCAAACCCACCAGTTGCTCTGCAGGAGAAAGATGAAGTTGCCTGCTCCCATGCAGAGTTAGTCTTAGAAGCCCTATGTAGGGTCGCTATGAATCAGAAGGATTCCTGGAGCGGTGCGTTGCTGGATCAGCACTGGACAGCGAACCACAAGGTCAGTAGTTGAAACCTGCTCCTGGTAAAGCTACACAGGGGCGCTATGAGTCAGAAGCAACTCGATGGCACTTAACAACAACATGAATCAGAATCGACTGGATGACCATGAACTTGGTTTTAGTTTGTAAGCAAATATAAAGAGCCCTGCTGGCACTGTGGGTTTGAATGCTGGGCTGCTAACTGAAAGATTGGTGGTTCAAACCCACCAGCTGCTCATGGGGAGAAACATGAGGCTGTGTGCTCTGGTGATGATTTCCAGCTTTGGAAACCCCATAGGGCAGTTCTGCTCAGTCCTATGAGTCAGAATCTAGAGTAAACAGGGAGTGGTCCCTGGGTAGTGCACACAATTTGTACTTGACTATGAGTTTTTCTGGTGGTTCAAGCCTACCCAGAAGTGCTGTGTAAGAGAGCCCTGGAGGTCTGCTTCCATCAGTATTTACAGGCTTGAAAACCCTACGAAGCAGTCTACTGCATAATACATGGGACTGCATTGAGTCAAAATCAGCTTGAGGGGAACATGTTTAAGCGGGGAGATCCCAAGTTAGATGTGAGGAAACAACTCGTTGGTTTATCCCTGCAGCCTGAGATCTGCTCTCCTCAAGGACTGCTAATGACACCCAGAGAAGCCTTGTCACTGAGGCCATGGGGCTGTAGGATATGTCTCTGAATGCTGGATGAGCCAACAACTGAGCAAGCAAACTATGCCAGCCCCACGGGAACCTGTCGGAACCTACCAGAACCTACCGGAAGGGATGAAAAATGTGTAACCCTGTTTCAGCTCAATTCTTTGGCATCGCTCCACACGGTCTCCCAGAAAGATGTCACTCTGTTTGCCTGACAGCACCCACTCCTCGTATAGTGCCAAGTTGTGCAGGGTTGGAGGAATCAGCCAAAAGATCTTGGGAGGAAAAAAAGACAATCAGCGCAAAAACCAGACCTTTCTCTCTGATTTCTTCCAGAGCCTCCTATAACCCAAGGAGAGAGCACCCATCTGGGGTCAGGGAAGATGGTGGGAGAATGTATCCCTCCAGAGTTCTCTGTCCAAGTCCAGGTCCAAAGGGTCAATGGGGTGGCAGGGAAGACTATGCCAGCCTTTTGAGAACGCCCCCTTGCCTAAAGGAAATCTTCTTTCCAGCAGCACTGTAAGGGTGAGAATACACTGGACTAGGTGGGACATTTTCTTCCTAGTGACCAATTTGTCTGGGAGATGAAGGAGAAACTCCCACTGCCACTGCCACTGAGTCAATTCCACCTCATAGTGACCTTAAGACGACAGAAGAGAACTGCTACCGAGGGTTTCGAAGACTGTGCATCTTTCAGGAGCAAACAGCCTCATCTTCCTCCTAAAGAATGGCTAGTGGGTTTAAACCACTAACCTTGTGGTTAGCAGTCCAATGCTTAACCTGCTGTGCCACCATGGCTTGTTCTCAAGGGAGAGAAAGGGGGGTTTCAGAAGTTGTACGATAAAATATCCTGATAAATAAGCCCAGTTTTAGCTTCCTTTGGAGAAAGCAGAAAAACATCTGGAACCCAGTTGATTGGCTGTCTCCCAGAATGGCTTCCAACACGTTCAGTTCAAACATAGGCACCTCAGCCCGTCCCCAGTTCTACACAGCGGGGCAGGGTAGCACTCACACACACCAGGAAGCCCACAAAACCAGAACCAGCAGGAGTTCCCAGAGCTCCAACTCCACCTTCTCTCTCTGAGGAAAGAGTCTTGGAAGCAGCTGGAGCTGGCTAGCAAGGAGACTTTCAAGCAAAAAGTTCCTACCGCTATAACTGATCAAAAAAGCAAGGCGGGCAGCTCTCAGAAACCAACTTTAGTGTTCAAATAGAGCCAAAGGGACTTAGACATTGGGCTGGGCTAGAAGGTGACCAGAGATGATGCAGGAGGGGACAGAGAGCCAGGAGATGACCCCAGGGGCCTAAGACTGGTTCTCAAAGTGCTCCAGGGGTAGGTCTGGCAGGAGGAAAGGGTAGAAGGAGTGAGCCCAAAGTTGAAGAGTGACTACCAGCACTCACCTTTCCACCTCGGAACACATGGTACCAGACAGAAGTGCCTCCAAAGTCGATGTGGAAGTCAGTGAAGCAACCTTTCACGCTCATTAGACAGTACCTGCAGCACGCACAGGGCCAGAGCAGCAGAAAATCCAGGTGAGTACACAGCCTCCAGATGCCCGGCCCGCTGCCCTTTAGAAATGCTGACTCAGGGGGATTTTTTTTTTTTTTTAAATCCAAATAGAATCGGAGTTCCCCATGGGGGAAGCTTCTGTGGTCAGGTGACAAATCTTAGGCATTGGTCACCTGCCCCAAGACTGGGGGTGGCCTTGTTTTTTGTTTTTCAGATTACCACAAGAGCTTGACAACCCACAGACGTCAACTTCATTCCTTCCTTGTAGTGGGTTTACATTCTCAGCCCGCCCCCAGCCAGAGAGAGGCTTCCCTTCACAGTCTCATATCTGCCATTCTCCCAAGCTGCTGGGCCCCCTGGAATTCAGTTGTAAAGCCACCTGCACAGCTTGCCAATTACCGGAGACACATACATTCCCCATGCACTTCCTCATTCACTTAACGAATATTTACTGAGAGCCAGCTAGTGGTCTAGTCCCAGGCAAGGCATTATCACTGAAATGCCAAGGACCCTTGGCCTCAAGAATCTCCCACCTCAGAATGTAAGTTCTTTCCCTGAAGCTGCAACACAGAAGTTAGTCCCAACTCCACCAGGCTGTCCAATGAGCAGCGCTGTCAATAGAAAGACCACCCACAAAAGACCACATCCTGCGGGCTCCCATGAATGTGGCATTACATTCCTGGTGGTCAGGGGCTGGGGGTGTCTGGATGATGTTGGGAGTAACTGCTACTGGGTAGAGGGTCTCTTCTGGGCCGTCAGGAAAATATTATAAAATTGATTGTAGCAAGGGTTGCGCAGCTCTGGAAATTACTAAAAGCCACTGAATTGTACACATTAAATGTACAATTGCACAGTATGTGAATTATATCTCAATAAAAATGTTTTTGTTTAAAATAGGTAAAGAGATGAAGCCCTGATATTGGGGTCCTGGGTGGAAATGGGGAGAGCAATGAGACATCGCAAAGACTGAACAATTTGTGTAAGGATCACTGAATGGAAAACTAATTTTCCGTGTAAACTTTCACCCAAAGCACAAGAAAATGTTCAAAAACGAAAAGGAGAGAGAAACAGCCACTGAGGGGGTGGGGTGCTAGGCAGGAACGGGGAAGAGTCTGGGTCTTAGAGGCTGGGGATAGGGGGAGGCGGTGGACAGCAGTAGGAGCGGGGAGTGATTCAAGGCAGCTACCACCAGTCCCTCTTCTGAGCTCCAGTGAGCTAGACAGCCCACCCTTCTTTGAAGAAACCCTCCAGTCCCTTCTCTCCTCCCAGGATATATGCTGCCCTCCTGGCAGAGCTGAAGGAGGAGGGGGACAGAGGAAGCTTCCCAGCCCAGGCCTGGAAGACATCAGTGGGCAGCCGTGGCTGGCTCCCTTGCTCCCTCCCACGGTTTCCCAACAGCCCAGCCCAGGCAACCACCCACCCTTATTCCCCTGCACCTTGGCACTTCCAGAGAGGCTCGTACACGCAGGCTTACCCCACTGACCTCTTTCCCCGAAGCTGCACATTGCTTTTCCACGGTTTGGGGAAAAGGGGAGGGACGGGGCGGGGACGGGAAGGGAGGAGCCCGCAACCAAGAGGGTGGATGGAGAGAATGGGGGGCGTGAGGCTGAGCTGGCGAGAGGCGGGCGACCAGCAACCGAGGGGGCGGATGGAGAGAATGGGGGGCGTGAGGCTGCGCTGGCGAGAGGCGGGCGACTTGGTGCTCCCTCCCTCGGCCGTCTTTGGCACCTCACACTCAGGTGCACCCGGGCTCAGCAGTATGCAGGCGGCGTGCCCCGCGTCCTTCCTCCGATAGGCTGGAAGGCGCCTCAGCCATGTGTCTGCAGGAGGCTGGCAAATCAGGAGGCCTGCCCGCACATCAGAGCGCCGCTGCCTAGCAACCCCATCTGAGGGTGTAGTTGACAGCGCAGGACGCAGCGCAGGAGGGCTGCGGGGCTGGGCTCTTAGAGTCGCGACTTCCCGCTGCACACCCTTCCAGATCCACACCCTCACTGCCTCAGCCCAACACGGCACCCACGTGCTTCTCTGCAGGCTTGGGGGACCTTCATCTCTCCATGGAATGGGAGGGTAGATTTGATTTCTAACCCACAGAGCCGCCAAGACCACTCTGGCCTCTTCTCTCAAAGCACTTACTTCTAAATGTTAGCCTTCAATTTCCTAAATCGCCATTTGGTTTGGTATTCTCTTTTCTCTTCTAATCTAACCTTGGTTTCCACCTCCCTCCCCGCCCCAGCGGAGCTCAGTTTGAGCGAAAACAATCTGCGCGCGTGGGGGGTGGAGCCAAAAGAACGTGCCTCCTTCGGGCTGGACACCCACGGGGTCCCGGGGACTCAAGGATAGGGACCCTGAGTTTGGCTCACGGGCACGGACTCCAGAGAGGGGCCTGCCCCCCGCCGGCCAAGCTGATCTCCCAGGCCCTAGCCTCACTAGACCGGTGGAAATGAGAAGCCCCGCCAACTGTTTCAGAGCCTGGATGCAGAAAGTTCTACAAGTTGTGCCTTGTCTATTCTGCCCTCGGGGTCACCTTCCAGCTTCCACCGAGGTCCCGGGCCTGGGGCTCCACATCCTGACCCCTCTACCTAAATGAGCTGCCCCTCCTCCCCTTGCCCAGTCCAGTCGCGGGGGAGGGGGACACCCCTTCCTCAGGGAGAGCGGCCAGGGCAGGCGGCTGTGACAGGGCGGCTTTGTCCTGGGTCCTGCAGCTGCCCACCCTCCAGAGCTCTCTGGGTCTCCCCCCTCAGCGCTCGATCTGGCGTGACGCCTTTGCACTGACCTCTACAGCTTCCTCTTACCCAGCTCACCGCAGTCACATGGGCGCCCAGCGCTCGGTGCCACAACCTAGCTCGCTCCACGCTGGCGGGCTGGCGCCGCTTCCGCCTCAACGCCCCCCTGCCCACAAAGCCGTGCCTCCACAGACCTCCAAAATCCCCTCCAAATTAGGTGCTGGAAATCTAGAGGCCCGGAGCTACACCCTTAGGGAGAGGTCCCCACACGCCAAGGCTTGGCGGGCTGGAGAAGAGTGGGGGGAGGGGGCTGCACCTGCAGCACCAACTTTGGGGTGTTGCTGGGTCTAGGGGCGGGGCAGCTCCACCCTGGCCTTTTCCTTCCAACTTAAGAGAAACAGCCAGGGTGAACAGGCTGTGTCCCCTTGGGCACAGGTCTGGAATGGGGGCCGGCACACTTAGTGAACAGCTAGTGCCAGAGACAGCGAGCGTGCACCCACACTGAACACACCCGGGGAAACACAAAGAGACGCTAGTTGTTTGCCCGGGCGGGAGGCGACCCACACAAGCCTGGCGCCGCAGCTGAGCTGCACAGAAAGCAGCGACTGCCCACCCTGGCCTGCTCAGCGCCAGAATGGGCGGCGCAGCTCCAGCGACACTGCCCCTCCAAGGCGCTGCCAGACCCTGGCTGAGGATCCTGACGTCTTCGCTAGCTTCTTTCCTTCCTCTGTTAGCGGGGCACAGCCAGTATGCATCCTGGCTCTGAAACTGAACACCCGCCGGCACGGAGGTGACCTGGAAGCTCGCTGGCCAATACTAGGGTACTCCACCACCACTGCTCATTTCCACTCACCCCGCTGCTAGGAGACCCTCACCCTCACTCTGGGTGGGCGCTCGAGGACTGCCGTACCCCCATTTCCTGAAGTGTGGATGCCACCCTCCTGCTGACCATAAATCACCTAGCCAAGCCTCCTTAAATGTGCCCATTCAGACACAGCATGGAAAAGAGGCAATGCTGGGAACAGGGATGGGTGGGCAGGAGAGGGGTGTGTGGAGTTGGGGATTAGATCCCAGATAGGGAAGGGACCAGGGGACTAGGAATGTGGTTCCCACCCTGCAACAAGGATCTGTGTGACCACAGACAACTTACTTAACCTCTCAGTGTCCTTTTGTCAAGAGAGCTGCCCTGCAGTTCACCTTTACATTGTATGTTGCCCTTCACTGTCCGTTCCTCTTCCTCCTCCAAAGGAGCAGTGAACTCTATATTATAGTATTGTGGGGTGTCCACTGAGAGAAAGGAAACTACTTCTGAGACACACTCCAATATCTCCTGTTAATTGGCTTGCTGTTGTTCAGTGCCATCAAGTTCGTTCCAACTCATAGCAACCCTGTATAGGGTTTCCAAGGAGTGGCTGGTGGGTTTGAACTGCTGACCCTGTGGCCAGCAGTCCAGTGCTTAGCTTACAGAGCCACTACTGGGTTTAAAGGTTCAGGACATAGTCTCATGGGAAAACAAAGTCAATTGGCATAAGTTAATTCATAAAGATAATGTTCTAAATTCTAATTTGATGAGTAGCATTTGGGGTCTTAAAGCTTCCTATCCACCACTAAGATAGAATTATTTGTTTGTTCCTGTTCAGAGCAAAGGAGGATGAAGACAACCAAGGACTCAAAGAATTAGTCCACAGGACTAAATTGGTCTACAGCCTCCACTACCTGATCCTAGCCCACTCTTCTGACCTGGAACACAAAAGAAGGTTCCTGTTAGAATGAGAGAAAAATATAGAACAAAACTCAAGTTCACGAAAAGGATCAGATATACTGAACTGATAGAGTCCCCTCACTCGGAGACTATCGCCCTTTTAATCTGGTATGGAAGCCACTGGAGGTCACCTTTCAGTCAAATGACAGATTGGTCTATAAAATAAGCAATCATGTGCTTCTTTAAGCAATCAAACGATCAACATTTACCCAAAAGCAAAGATGAAAATGCCAGGAGGGAAATTGGATGAGTGGAAACAGGGCAGGTGGGCTGGAAATGGGTACTGGAACCAATGCAAGTTGTGTATAAATTGTTCAATGGGAATCTAATTCGCTATGGAAACTGTCACCTAAATCATATTTAAGAAAAAGAAGGAGGGTCTCTGAGAGACACAAATACTAAAGTTAAGCTTTAGTTCTCGTCTAGGGTTAGAATTCACCCCGATGAGGTACCTCAGAAGAAAGGCCTGGTGATCTCCTTCTAAAGGGTCATAACTTTGA